CAACGCGTTAGACCACTCCGCCAAGTGTGCATACTATTACCATGCAATAAACATTTATATTCTGCACTTTTGCTGCTTCCGTCCCCTCCCCCCCAAATAGGATTTTCCAGCGAAATGTTCCACGGTAACCTCCTCTGCATACCTCTGCCACCCCGGGCTGCTTTGCCAAAGCAACAAGTGCGATAAACCAATATCAAAGAGCCACCAATCGAAGCGCAACGCCTTCCCACATTCGACCCTCGGATTCAACGTGTTCTAAAACTTACTCTTGCTATCCTTCCCTGGCCACATCTTCCCGCCCTGCTACATCAGACCAAGCCGCCTTCTATGCGGGCCGCGCAGCTACGATTTGAGCCACGAAACGCAGTTCGAAAATAGGAAACAGATATATATGTGCGTGCTCTCAAAGTGCAAAAGTGCAGTGGATGGAAGGGGATGTGCGGTCGCGTCGACAGTGGAACGACTCAGTTTACCGATGAGATGCGACCGATACGGACCAAGCTGTTGAGTCTGGACAGAATATGGAACGGTGTCGTCCGACTTCAACTCCCCGCTGCGTTTGTCAAATGACCATCCGGTGGTTGGACAGGACAGGAGATCCAACAGTTTGAGTGGGTGGCCTCTATTTCCTTCCGACAAGAAGGGTATAGACGCTCACCTTCACCATGTTGGAGCAGGAGGCAATCAAACCCTGTGCTTCTCGCATGCGAAGCGAGCACCCTGCCACTGAGTTACTTCCCCTATTCTCATTCAACAGATTTCAAAGGGCTGAGGATTTCACACCTTGTTCTGTGATTTCACGCCTTGTTCGCTCAACTTCAACTCGCCCACTGGGCCGTTTGGCAGCAGGGGAGGAACCAAAGAGTAGAAGAGGGGAGGAAGAGAGTGATAAGCACATTGGGCGGTCTAACAAAACGAGGAAGGGTTTAACCACCATCAGGTTAACATGTTCCTCTGTTCATTCTGACCAGCGAGGTCCTTGAAGCTCTACGAAAAGTATACCGCTAACCTTCATCATATTGGAGCTGCAGGGGTCGGACCCTGGGCTTCTCGCATACACGCTAGCGCGAAGCGAGCACTCTGCCACTGAGGGACTGCCCAATACTGGAAATCCCCTCAATCAACGAATTTGGAGGGCCTCGTGATCTCAGGCCATGTTCGCTCGACTTCAACTGGAGCGTTTGGCGAAGGATCGTTTGAGCGAGGATTTGGACGCGCCAGAGAGAGGGAGAAGCATGTTGAGCGCAGTTCAGGAGAACATCAGTGCGGTCCACTTTACCCCTTCGTTTCTGATTTTCTCGCCGTCCAAGTTAGTTGTTGAAGCTTGACTACAACCGAGAGGGACACCGAGCAGTCCAACAGCTCACTAAAAATCCAGGGGAAGGAAGGAGGGGAGGAGGACGCCGAGGCAAGAGCGGAGGCAGAGGGGACCAGCGACGACATGAGCGGCGTGTTGAGAGCAGGTGAGGATAGTGGGCAAGCAGGGGCGCTGGGGGTGCGGACAGGTCGCAGGAAGGGGACAGACGCAGTGGCTGTGGGGCGGCTGAACCAGTGGTCAGGCGAAGAGGAGGAGAAAGAGAGAGAGAACCACAAGGGCAGAGGGGCCTAAAACAAATGGACCCTTTCCCGGGCTTATAACCTGTGATGACGAGGAAAGAGCAGGACAACGCATTAAGGGGGATGACCACTCACTCAGTGGAGGTCTGACTTCCCGGAGACTCATTCTATTACGTGCGAGTGTGGTAGAGAGCATGACGTAGATTGCTAGTCAAGTTGACATGTGACTATCACGTGATTAATTGTTCGAAGTGGAGCAGCAGGGGATTGAACCCTGGGCTTCTCGCAATCACGAGATGCGAAGCGAGCACTCTACCACTGAGTTACTACCCCATGTGGTGTAGACTGTCAATCAACCATATTCACGGCGTAATTTCATGCCCATCTCCCAGCTAGTATGACTCGGCAGCTTAAAAATAAAAATAAAAGAAAGTGCAACCTAACGTCTCAGAGCAAAGAAACCCAACAAAACATTTACCAAAGTACACAACAAAACACCCCCCCCCTCTACCCCTCCATCCCTTCCTCCCATCAAAAAAACGCGGGCAAACTCCCCCTCCTCGCCGACGGCACAGTGCTCCAATGCGGCGGCGGCAGGCCCGCGGTGCCCCACGGCTCGCCAGTCGCCGGCGCAGACGTCAACGCGCCCCTCCAGTTCCCTCTGAGCGCGCGCAGCACGCTGAGTTCGGTCCTGACGATATCCCAGCGGTGCAGATTGCCGACATGGCCGACCGAGTGGCGGCGGGCGGTCGTCAAGTCTGCCGCCGGTGTCGCATCGGGGATAAGGGATCCCGGGCGCGCGGCGGATTGAGCTGCAGCGGCTGCTGCGACGTGTTTCGGAGAGATTACGGACACGCGGGGAGTGGCTTGGCCGAGGACGGAGGTTGGGGCTGGGCGTGGGGAGGAAGGGAGCGCGAGGCCGTCTGCCCACGAGGGGGAGTGGGGGAACTCGAGTGGGTGGATGAGGGAAGGGAGTTCGTCGGAGGCGCCGATCGCGAAGGAGGGGACGAGGGCTTCGAGGGGGAGGAGGCGGATGATCGTGCCCCAGGGGATGGCGAGGAGGCCGATGAGAACCGAGACGAGCCATTCGGTTACGGTGAGTGGCTCGGTGCCGAAGACGGCGCCGCCGTAGGTTACGAGCAGGATCTGGGTCACGACGATAAAGGCGGTAATGGTCACGAAGGCGGGGTTTTGGAACATGCCTGGGTGAGAGCGGTGGAATGGGTGAGACAAGGAGCTTTTCAACACGGAGGGTCTGCACATTCGAAGAACAAAACCTACCCTTGAAGGGATTCAACCCGTTATCGATTCTCCGGCAACTAAAAGAAGAACGCGATTGTGAGCCACACATAAAGAACAGGAGATAGCTGAAAACGACGCGGATTACGCCCCGATGAAAACGCCTCGCCTCGCGCGACTCACTTGATCTGGTTAAACACCTGCATGAAAACAAACGAAGTGAACACGATGGTCCGCATCGTGGCCTTCTGGACAGCGACGATCTCGCTCGTGCCTTCGGGGGCGCCCATCATGCCTCCCGCGTCACTAAAGAGGGAGCAAAACTTGAGTGCTCGCTTCTCGACATAATGAAACGAAATCCCTTTAAAGACCAGTCTCTCCTGCCTATCACTCACATCAACTCATCGAATCCAAACAAGTACGGCCCATAGAACAAAAGGCTCAAATTCACGGCGACCTGCAGCAGCGCCTGGCCCGCGATAAACTTGCACATGGTGCGGGACACCAACGGAGCGCTGCGCGGCTCCGGGGGCCGGTTGAGAAGGTCCGGGGTTGGGCGTTCCGTTGCGAGCGCCTATAGGAGAGAGACTGGGTTAGCGAGTTCTACGGATGAGATAGGGGCAAGTAAGGACGGGAAAGGAGGGGGGGGGGGGGGGTCGAACCAGAGCCTATTGAGACAGGAGAAGAGAGGGAGTTAGAATGAATCGCGGTGAGAAGGAGGGAAGGCAATAAGAATCGAAACTGACCGCGAGAGTATCCATGATGAGGTTGACCCACAGCAGCTGAACCGCGGATAGGACGCTCGCTTCGCCGGCGTCACAGGTGGAGCTCACGAAGGTCAAGACTACTGCTGCGATGTTCACAGTCTGGGGGGGATTGGAAGTTGGGTTGAGCTTTCGTATACTGATTTTCTTCGCTGATT